CCAAAGCTGGATTGATGTGGGGAAACGCCTTTCCCTTCTAGTTTTGAGAGACTTCCTCTTGGCTCCCAGGAGGAGGGATTCCCTGACTTTGACACACATGGCCACCTTGGCACACAAAAGCCTTGTGGTATGGAAAAACAAATTCATTTTTATGTCCTCTTCTCCCTTTCCGTCTTTCAGCATAGACTTAACTCCCTTAAGCCCAGACATCTGTTGCGACCTGACCCCCAGTCATTGGTTACCAATGTGTCAGGCAATCTGGACTTGCCAGTGATGCCACTGAGATGGCACCTGTCAAAAGAGTAGTGATTCCATTTCTAGATTGTGGATCTTCAGATAAATTCTGCCATTTTCATTTCACTTCCTGAAAGTCAGGGTCTGGTCGTGAAAAGTTAAACAACATGCTAAATGTGAAATGTCAACCCTCACTCTCAACTTTCCCTGTTCAGAGCATCAGATGAAGACTTCATTGGGTTTTATAGTGGCTTTCTGATTTTTGGTAGTCCATCAAAGAAGGGATTTTGAAAGTTGTTGTATACCGTTAATGATTGTCTGCCCATGTCCTGCCCATGATTGTTTATGGAAAATATCTCTAATAAAGCTGGATACAGTTTGGCTTGGGAAAAAAAAAAAAAAAAAAAGTACAACGGGCCAGTTGTGGTGGTTCACACTAATCCCAGCACTTTGGGAGGCCGAGGTGGGTGGATCACCTGAGGTCAGGAGTTCGAGACCAGCCTGGCCAACATGGTGAAACTTTGTCTCTACTAAAAATACAAAAAATTAGCCGGGTGTGGTGGTAGCAGACACCTGTAATCCCAGCTACTCAGGAGGTTCAAGCAGGAGAATTGCTTGAACCTGGGAGCTGGAGGTTACGGTGAACCAAGATGGCACCTCTGCACTCCAGTCTGGGCAACAGAGTGAGACTCCATCTCAAAAAAAAAAACCAAAAAAACAATGATTAATATACTGGGTCTGGCTGGGCATGGTGGCTCACACCTGTAATCCCAGAATTTTTGGGAGGCAGAGATGGGAGAATTGCTTGAATCCAGGAATTCAAGATTGGCCTGAGGAACATGGCAAAACCCCTTCTCTATAAAAAATACAAAACTTAGCCATACATGGTGGCACATGCCTGTAATCCCAGCTACTTGGGGGGCTGAGGTGGAAGAATCACTCTCAGAGGGTGGAAGTTGCAGTGAGTCCAGACTGCGCCACTGTACTCCAGCCTGGGTGACAGGAGGAGACACTGTCTCAAAAAAAAAAAAAAAAAAAAAAAAAATGGATGGGGCCAGGCAT